GGGCCTTCTTGGTCACTTCTTCATTCCTAAACAAAGCATCATTCATCCTCCATCTGAAGGAACCAATTGGCGTCAATTTCATTTCCATCTTCACAGCATTATGATCAGAACAAGTTTTGGGGCAAATTTCCACTTTGCTAGTCCTCGGAACTAGTCCTCTAGTTACCCAAATTTGGTCAATTCTTGTCCATGTCATTTTAGCCTCCGCGAAGAAAGTTCCCTCTCTTCCTAGAGGGTTCTTCATTCTCTAGATGTCAACTAAATCCATATTTTCAGTCATGTCAAAAAAGGTTTTTGGTAGTCTACCATCTTTGGTAACTACCTGTCTCTGTGCCTTGTCCATATTTGTAGACACCACTCCATTCATATCTCCCATCAAAATCATATTGTAATCCAAATAGTCCATCAAAGTCTCATGCAGCTGCTTTAAAAAATTCCGCTTTCCTTTCATTTGGTGCATAAATGCCTACTATCAAAAATTTCTCTCCTTGTGATTGGATTTCAATTAGCAATAAATCTTCCTTGATCATCTTTAAATATTAAATTTCGGTGATAGGCTCTGCTTTGCATATAGGACAACTCCTCTTTTTTTAACTTTATCTGATGAAACAAATCCAAGACCCAGTCTTTTATTACTCAATATCTTCCTGTGTAGCCTTATCACATGTGTTTCTTGTAGACAAATCAAGTCCAATTGTTCCTTTTTCAATAAATGAAAGACTCTGCGCCTTTTTTCGGGGGAGTTCATTAACATTCCAACTTAATATTTGCAATGCCATGATGTAATTACTCTGATTTTCCTCCAACTGCACCCACTGCTTGCTTTTCTTCTGTTGGTGGTGTTGGTATCACATTCTCTGAGTTGTCCAGTCCAAAACATAGTTTTGCTATGTCCAATATTCCTCTTTTTGGTGATCTTTTGTCCAATGCTTTTTGTTCAAGTCCTCTGTCTGGTGATCTTCTGTCCGATGCTCTTGACTCTTTTCCAAGCTCCTTCTGCAGGTCTTCTTCGTAGTTATTCAAAAATTTAACTTTATCTTCTACTGATCTTATTTTTATTTTCCCTCCTTTGAAACTGAAGGATAGACCTTGGGGAAATTCCCACCTAAAGTTGATTTTGTTCTTTCTCAGCAGGGCAACCAAGTCACTGTAATTTGACCTAAGATCCAAAAGATATTTCGGGATGTCTTTAAAAATTTCCACTCTTGACTGTAATACTTCCAGAGGCTTCAGGTAATGCCAGCCCAAAATTTTATCTCTCTCTTCTTTAGCTCGGAGGGTAATCAAACAGTCTCTTATTCTATTCTTCTCTTTCTTCCCTCTCTTCCTAGTCTAAAGGCTCTCACAATTTCAAAGCACTCCTGCTCCAAATCCAGGTCCCAGAAATCCACAAGCTCCTGCGTGAGAAAATCTATTAAACTACTCTTCTCCAATTCAGGTAGAACTCTGATCCTCAAATTTCGTCTGTTTTTCCTTAAGCTCAATCATAGAAAGCGTCAACCTATGATCCTCAAGTTGCCTCTGTAGAACTGGTACACTCTCTTTTTCCAATTGTGTAATTTTACGTTCCACAACAACTGCCTTTTCCTTGGCTTCTTCTGCAGTCTGCCGTATCAAAGTAGCTTCTGACTACTAAGCTGCTTCTGGCGAACCATAGCAGCACACGGAAACACCCTTCACTTTCCCGCTGGAGCGGTACCTATTTATCTACTTGCACTTGGACATGCTTTCGAACTGCTAGGTTGGCAGGAGCAGGGACCGAGCAACGGGAGCGATGGGAGCGGAGCAGGGACCGAGCAACGGGAGGGATGGGAGGTCACCCCATCGCGGGGCTTCGAACCACCAACCTTCTGATCAGGCAAGTCTTAGGCTCAGTGGTTTTAACCCACAGTGCCACCCCCGTCCTTAGGACTCCTAAGGGACTCCTAGGTATGGCCAATAATACTCAGGTGCCAGGAGGAGATAAGGCAGTGGAAGACAGAAGTGCCTGGCGTGCTCTGTTCCAGGGGGTCACGAAGAGTTGGACACGACTAAACGACTAAACAACAACCATACATCTGAATGGGCTTTATTTGCATGCATTTCCCCACTCCTGGATCCAAGGGGCCAGCAGCGCATCCATGCAAAGGAAGAGCAGAGCTGCCGCCCTCCTGCGACCCTCCGCGCCCTGACTTACCCCCCCTCTCGCCATGCAGCACTGGGACCCCCGCTCTCCCCATGGGCCCTATGCTGGGAGAGAGGAGACTCACCGGATCCCAGCAGGCGCCCCCAGGCAGCCTCTGCAGAGCCAAACCAACGGGACCCCCACACACCCGACTTCTTGCAGGAAAGGGAGGGGTTGGGCTTTCGCTCTGGAGGACCTGCCCCCCCCCTCTTACTTTCCTCTCCAGGAATCTAGCTCGTTTCGTTTAACCCTTGGCAAGCCGAGCGCACCCAACTCACGCTTTCCCTCTCCCGAGAGCCGGAGCATCGCGCACCAATGGCATCCCGAGAAGGTGGAGGAGGAGAGGTTTATGGATTACTTCCGGCAAGGGATACATTCAGTTTTGGACAGCAGCTGAAAGGCCCCTAACAGCTGGCCCCTGAACAAGGGTCCTAAGAAATCTTCACTGGCTCCGGTCCATTTCCGAGCACCATTCAAAGTGCTGGCACTGACCTTGAAAGCCCTAAATGGTCTCAGCCCAGTAGAAGGGAAGGAGCGTCTCCACCCCATTGTTCAGCCCGGACACTGAGGTCCAGCTCCGAGGGCCTTCTGGCAGGTCCCTCATTGCGAGAAGTGAGGTTACAGAGGGGCGTTCTGGGTTGTCGTGACTGCCCTGTGGAACGCCTCCCACCAGATGTCAACCATTATACGGCCTCCATTGACACCTGAAAGCAGCTCCGTATCGGGAAGCTTTTAATGATTTATGTTGGGTTATGTTTTCTTCTCTTCTTTTGGCTGGAGCAATCCGGTCTGATGGGTGGGGTACAAAAAAACATGTTGATGTTCTTGTTGTTAGACAGCCTCTTTTGATAGGGCTGCTTTGTTCTGTCCTTTTGGACTCCTATGTGGGCTTATGGTTTTGGTGCTTGTGGATCTTATGGGATTTAATGTCTTGCCATTATAAATGCACGGGGATGAGTGCATCTACACAGACACATTTCCGCAAAAAGACCCAAACTCCGGCATGTAGCCGCAGGTGATACAATAGGAGCCTTTCTGCAAATGGCCTTTGCAACACAACTCACTGGGTGGTAACAAAGTATACACATTTGCCTCTTTACAATGTACCCCCTTTCCTCAATGAATCCACCCATTTCTTGATGAAATAGAACTTCTGCCAGTAAAACCTGAGCTGAAATAGTAAGGAGAGCAAAACAGCAGCCCTGTCTGACCCCCGCCAGCCTCCAGACTCCCCCAGTCACGTGGCAGGAGATTCTTCCTGAGCCCCCGCCCCCTCCGTGAGACGGGTATGACATCATGGATGATCCATATAATCCATTAATGATCCACATGATCCAAGCAGACTGGGCGAAAGAGCAGATCTCTAGGCCTGAATGAAACGGGTCTGCGATGATGGATTCTGGAGTCAAGAAATCCTCCCTTTCCAGTGATCTCTCAGGCTGGCCAGGAAAAGGCAGCGAGCAGGAATCATCAGGCATCCCGACGGACAGACAGACTTGTCATGTTGCCAAAACACGAACTCGGACTCTGATCTTATTTCCATGTACAACTCACTTTGTGGCACAACCGGGGATGTTTTTGGGGTGCTCTCTCTGTGACAGGGGGGGCGATTATTTGAGGGTGTACAAATTGCAACGCGCTTTAGTTCTGGGCTGCTTCACTCCTCGCATGGGGGGGGGGGCTCTGCGCGCAAACAGATCAACAGCTGCCTTGCTTTCTTCCGGGCCGCATTGTGCTACCTCTGACGGAGACACAAGGGAGGAATTGTGTCGGCTCTCTCTCTCTCTCTCTCTCTCTCTCTCTCTCTCTCTCTCTCTCTCTCTCTGTGTGTGTGTGTGTGTGCAAAAGCCCAAGCCCCATTTTCCCCGTAACACAGGAGTCACAGACCCAAACCCGCTGCTCAATTTGCACCAATACCTAAAACATGGAATGGATCTAAGATCATGGCGTGTGGGGCGGGGGGGGAAAAGGATTTTCAATGTAAACATTGTAGGGGGGGACCACTTTGCAGCTGGATTGCCAGGATCAGCCCCTCCCGCGCTCTCCTGATCCCCAGAAGTAAGTGAGGAGGGGAAAAACCTTTTTCTCTCCCCCGCAAACAATTCTTTCCCTGCCTTCCCGGCACAACCTGCTTTCACGCCGCCCCCACAATCCTCAACCCCCCCCCCCGTATATCGCACCTCTTCCTTCTGCTCCTCCCCGCAATCCGGCTTCTGTTTCCGGAATGAGCGGAGAGAGCCCCCCTCCCGAACTGCCTGCTTCTCCCGGACGTGGAGCTTCTGCGCCGGATTGCTGCTCTGCGCCGTAACTGGGGGGGGGGGGGCCTTCGGAAAAGGGAGGAGGGGCGGAAGGACCCCCCCCTGGATGTTGCGGGAAAGAAAAGGAGAATCGGGAGCGAGGACAAAGAGGTAAAGGGGTCGCGGGGGAGGGGAAAGGGGAGACGGGAGACCCCCGCCAGCTCCCCCAAGCGCCTTCCGTGGGGCCTGGATCCCTGCGCTAAGGGGGCTTTCCTTGGCCCCTTGGGTGCCTTGGCAGGGGCGGCCATGCAGCGCCCACCCAGGGGATCCCAGCGAAGCGCCCTCGCCCCGTTTCCCCCGCTTAGGCTTCCCTGGGGCGCTGTGGGTTCCGCGCGGAGAGAGGTGGGCCATGAAAGGGTTAATGGGAGTGAGGGACGCCTGGATAGAGACCCCCTGTCCCTCCCCTGCTCGTCTTGGGGTCGCAGGGCGAGGGGTGAGCCGCGCCAAGGGGTGCAGGGCCTATGGGTGCAGGGGAGACTCTGGGACAGAGGGAGGGAGTCGAGGAAGTGGGGAGGGGGAGCATCCCTGGGGCAGGGAAGGGCAGCATTGGGGGAGGGAGAGATAGGAAACCAGTCTTTGGGGAGACTTCTCCATGGTGGTGCCCGCTGGGGATCTCCGGAGGGGCCGCCTTGGCTTCTCCCTCCGCGACCAGAGAAACCTTTTCCTCTCTCTCAGGCTTCCATCTTTAAGTGTCTTTTCCACTGAGGATGAGGATAATGTACACCTGTCATCAGCAAGGGATAGTATGCAGTCCATGGAATGGTTCTCAGGAATGATACAGAAGTTGCACCTCAAAAGCATTTCTGTTCCGCCTATTCTTTGTAGGCAATGTCAGAGGGACTGACAAGCTGAGATACAATCCTTCAGCATCCGATGACAGCGACTGCATGAATCTTCCCAGTCAAACGACCCATTTTCTGGTTGGGTTTCCACAGCCCCTCTGGGCAGGTTACAGCACATATAAAAAACAGTAAAACATCAAACATTAAAATCCTCCCGATACAGGGCTGCCTTCGGCTGTCTTCCAAATGTCAGGTAGCTGCCCATTTCCTTGCCCTCTGCCTGGTTCCCTGTAACTTCGCTTCTCGCAGGCAAGGAACCAGCAGAAGACCCTCAGAAGAGGACCTCAGTGTCCAGACTGAGCCATGGGGGTGGAGACGCTCCTTCAGCTCTACAGGGCCGAGGCTGTTGAGGACTTCAGCTCGCAGATCTTGCTCCTCCATAATGACCTCCAGAGCAAGTCCGACGTATATTTAGCAGAGTAGGAAAAAACGCAAAGAGGCAGCAAACATTTTATTCAGCAAATAAATTTATTACTGAATGCAAAGAAGCATAACAGGATCCTAAACATAGCAAAGCCCTAACTTAAATAGAAACCTAACTTGGCATACCAAAGCAGCACTCAAGTAAATAAAAAGAAATGTCCAGTAGCTCCTTAGAGACCAACTAAGATTGTCCTGGGTATAACTTTTGGTGTGCATGCAAACTTCTTCAGATACACTGAAACAGAAGTCACTAGACAGACCCTTATATATAGTGGGAGGGTGGGGTGGGGTTTTCCTCAGAAGGGTAGTAGGAGATGGGTATGGTAAAGCTGTTGACAACTGTTAATGACTGCAATTAGTCCTACAGGAAAAAGCAAGGGATAGTATGCAGATGACCAAAAATAGCTTTAGTATGTGTAATGAGACAAGAATCCAATATCTCTATTCAGACCAGGTCTCTCCATTGTTTTCAGTTTAGTAATAAGTTGTAATTCAGCAACTTCTCTTCCAAGTCTCTTTTCAGCAACAAGTCTTTCAAGTATTTCTGAAATTCCTTTTTTATTAATTTTGACTGCGTCAGACCAATACGGCTACCTGCCTGAATCTAGCACTCAAGTAAGACACACACAAGCAGAGTAGAGAAATAGCAGAATAGGAAGTGGGACCAGGCGCCTTTCAATACTGCAATTTATAAACAATTCAGTGTCAGAGTAACATTGGGACAGGATAACAAGCCTGGCTCACTCCAATTTAACCAGTTTCATCTGGTTCCCAAAATCAAGGAAGGTTCAGCATAACCTCATTACAATTGATCCCACCACCTGCTCTCAGCAGAAAGGAAACTCCCTGATCAGCTAAAATATTCCAGCTAGAGAAAACTCCAGCTTTGAATCACACAGAGCAAAACCACCAGAACCTTCTTGAAGCAATAGACCAGGAATGACTGATCTCTCTACATTAGATCAATACTTTTCTATGCCTGAAAAATGCAACTATGACACTTTAAAGGTCAGCACCAACAGTGTGAATTGTACTTGGAAATGCGCTGGGAGCCAGGGAAGATCCTTTAGCACAAGTGATATGTGGTTTCCGCGGCTGCTCCCAGTTACTAGTCCAGCTGCCGCATTCTGTTTTAGTTGCAGTTTCTGAGTCATCTTCAAAGGTAGCCCCATGTACAACACATGACAGTAGTCCAAACTGGAGATAACCATAGCATGCGCCACTCTGGTGAGACAGTCCGAGGGCAGGGAGGGTCTCATCCAGTGTACCAGATGGAGCTGGCAGACAGAACTGACCTGGACACAGAACTGACCTGCACCTCCATGGACAGCTGTGAGTCCAAAATGACCCACAGGCTGTGCCCCTGGTCCTTTTGGGCCACAGTTACCCCATTCAGGACCAGGGAATCCTCCACATCTGACCGTCCTCCAGGGACAGTACTTCTGTCTTGTCAGGATTCAACCTCAATCTGTTAGCTGCCACCCATCCTCAAACCACATCCAGGCACCAACACAGGGCATTCACCACCTTCACTGGTTCCGATTTAAATGAGAAGAAGAGCTGGGTATCACCCACATACTGGTGAACACCCAGCCCAAAACCCCTGATGATCTCTCCCAGCAGCTTCGTATAAATCTTAAAAAGCATGGGGGAGAGGATGGAGTCTTGAGGCTCCCCACAAGTGAGAGCCCAGGGGTCTGAACACTCATCCCCCAACACCACTTTCTGGACATGGCCCAGGAGGAAGGAGGGAACCACTGCACAGCAGTTCCCCCATCTCCCCTAGAGGGTCCAGAAGGATACCGTGGCCAAAGGTCTCCAAAGCCACTGAGAGATTTAGCAGAAACAGGAAACAGCTTCCCCCTCAGACCATTCAGAGAACATCAGTCACAGCAACCAGGGCAGTGTGAGTTCCATGATGAGGCCTGAATCCCAATTGGAAGGTTAATGGTTGCAGAAGCTTTCCTGGTCCTGCACCCCCAAAAGCTCCAGGCACAATACATTCATTAGCTTTCAAGGGGCCACCTGATACATGGTGGTCTTTTCTTCAAAAACCAAATATTTTGAATACTTTTACATTGCTGTATGATGTAAATAGTGCTTCTGTTTCCCTTGCTCCACATCAGAGAGACTTTGATACACAGGTCTGAGCTGATTTCTCCACCTGAAACTGCTGTGTTAGCAGCAATGGCAGCCTGGGCAGTGTGTTTGGGGGTCCTGGGCTGCCTAGACAAGAAGACCCCCTTCTCAACAAAGCAGTATGTTAGGCACCAGCTTGGCTGCAGGCGTTGCTGGCAGGAGGTGTGCAGGACACTATCCAAGCATCTTAGAAACTCCACTCTGGATTTGTGTAAGGTTTCCCTCCATAGCCTTTTCTTCTCCTGAAAATAACTCACGAGGCCGCGAATGTTTAGGACCAGAGTTTTCCTTCTCGATGGGCTTCCTTCCCCGGTTGACGATCCCATCTGCCCTTCATTTTCCTCTTCAGCACGGGCAGAATCTGCCTTCTTGACTGTGGGATTGACTGTTGTTCTCCTCCTCTCCATCCACCAGGGCTTGACTTCAGGTGCAGCAGAATTCCCCAGCCCCCCAAGGATTTGAGACCCATCAGCTTTCCTCACCTGGTTTAGCCGGCCGGTTGAAGCCGTTGCTTGAACCCCTGTTGCATGCTGACAGCTTCTGGAAGCCACAGGTGAGAGCTGAGTGCAGGGTGGGGACCAAGGGTGGATAATTTACTGCAGAAGGTGCATGACAATGTCCCCCACTAAAGGAACTACCGCTCCTCTAACATCCCAAGACATCCTATAATTATGATATTTGAGACAGACCCGGAATAAATTCATGTCTCCAGAAATAACACAACTTCAGGCCATTAATGATTCAATACTACGTATTCAAGGTTGAAGTTTCTATTACGTACAGTTATCTATTTGCCCTTAATATCCAGCTAATATTCACTGCCAGATTAGGGTAGTCCTGGGTCAAAAGACGGGCCTGAGATCAGGCAGCACATCATTATTATAAAGCACCATTGGGGTGGGTGTTTCCGCCTGGGATTCCCATGTGCCAGCTGCTTTCCTTCCACTTCTCCTGCTCTCTCCATGCAATGCAAGGCATGTAGATGGAGGTCCATCTCCCAGAACAGGAGCTTCCCTGAGCACCCATATAGCTGGCGCCAAGCACCAAGCCTTGTCATTAGTTCTCTGACTGACCCAGGCCACCGTCCCTGGAAAAGATGTAGACCTGGGTCTCACATCGTCCGTATGGACCTCCTGAGGCCAATGGGGCTGTGCAGGTGATTCATTAAGAGATTGAGGTGGATGGGGGCTTCCGGTTGAGCTGCGATCAGCCCTCAGGGGGGTCTCGAGTAGTGTGGGGGCTTTAGAGGGGCTACGAAGGCTACGTGGACCTCCATACCCTGAGAGGAGTATCTTGGGGGGCAGAGTACCTGGCAGAGCCTGGGCGTTCTCTCCTGTTTCACAGGCTTTAAAGCTAAACTTAAGCTCGGGGACGGGATTGAGCTGCAGGCACTGAGGGGAAGCAGCAGACCCCGCGCTGTGCAGTCTCAAGCTTCGACTGAAAGTGGCCAGCTTCCAAACAAAGAAAGCAAATCTGGACTAAAACTAAAGCAGTTATTATCTGCGGATTTTAGAAAAGAAAATTAACAAGATGCGGAGGGCTGAGGGTGAAAAAAGGGAGTCCGTCCCAGCGGTAGGGAGAAAATGGCGTCTGGCGGAAGACTGAGAGAGGACTGAAAGTAAGAAAGCAGCCGCCAAGTGAGGTTCGCAGAAAATCCTTGGTTACTATGTTCTGAGGTAACGATTTGTGGGGAAACAACAGAGAGGCATAGAAGGGGAGGAAAAACTTCTTTGTATCGTCTTGGTTGAAGCTTCCTGTGCCAGGGGTCGGAGAGTGAGCTTTAAATGCCCACCAGTGAACTCCCGTGAACTCTGCTTTTTTCCTGCTGTTTGTGAAGAGGTTGGGCAGAAGTCTATGTTGGAGTAACAGTCGGTACGTTTGCAGGAGCAAGAAAGAAGAGACTGGGGGATTGCTGTGAATATCTGCTGAAGTTCTATCTGAGCCTCTCCTTTGCTTTTTTCACCCTCTATGTGGGGGAGGAGATAAACGGTACGCTTTATAATTCTTGATTATCGGTCTTGAGTGGAGAATTTATGGCTTAAGCTGATAAGGAACCGGAAAAAGAAGATTTTGTATTTGGAGTACAACACGAAGAATAAGTCTTTGACTTTTATTTTTATCTTTACTTCTTACTCCTGTTTCCCCCCCTCTCCCCCCTCTTCTTCTTTCCTGATCTTTTCCCCTCCCTTTCCTTACTCTATCGCCCCTCGTGTATCCCCTTCCCCCACCCTTATTCCCCCCTTCTCTCTTTTTATCTGCTCTCCCCTCCCTCCCTCCCTCCCTCCCTTTCTGCTCTCTCCATGTTTTGGAGGTTTCATTCCCTTCTTTACTTTTTGTGCCTTTCTTCCTGACACTCTATGGCAGTCTCCCCGTCTGGTCCTCCAGCCACGTGAAAGGGGAAATTCCATTTGAAGGACAAAGAAACAGAAAGTAACTTTACTTAAGGAAGGATTTTTATTGAATTGGTTCCCGGCAAGCCAATTTGCAAATCGCCTGGCCGTCAGGTAGCCCTGTAAGGGTGAAGAGTACGGCGGAGAGAGAAGCAGGCAGAGGGAAGCCATTAACTATCCTCTAAAAATCGTAGCCCCGAACTTGCAAGGGAAGCGACCGACACTCAAGCTTAAGAAATTCGGACCTAATTGGGATAGAATTTGGAAGTTCAAGGCTAAAGGAAGGTTTTGGAGCAAAAAGAATTAAACGTGGAGTTCAGCTGTATCTGCAATTGAAAACAGATACAGAACTGTCAGCAGAGCGGGAGCGAGCTATGTGAGTAATGGCTAGCGGTCGTTGCCACTTTCTCCTCTAAAACTTCTAAGCTAAGAAAATAGCTAAGAACTAGCAATAAGATAAAAAAGAAACAGAAGAGGAAGCAGAGGGACGTTTGACTGTTTTTTTTTGCAAATCTTCGGTGTGTTGGTGGGGGAAAGAAAGAGACGAGATTAGAAGGAATTCTTAGTTTCACTTTTAATAAAGAACTGCGCAACTGGATGTAAGGACTTCCGTCGCCATTGTTACATTGCTATACTTGAAGTCTCTCAGCCTCACTCACCTCACAGAGTGTTTGTTGTGGGGGAGGAAGGGAAAGGAGAATGTTAGCCGCTTTGAGTCTCCTTAAAGGGAGTGAAAGGTGGGATATCAAATCCAAACTCTTCTCTTCTCTTCTTCAACGTTTTTGGAGAAGTGAATATTTTAACGGACAAAAGGGGAAGTTTTATGCACTGTAATAGATTATAATAATCTGACTTTTGAAATTGAACAATGCCACAGGTTTTAAGGGTTGATGGTGAGCGTCAAAATTAACTTCTAAAAAAACACTGCTCCCCCTCCCCCTCCCCCTTCCTTCCCTTGTCGTTGGAGTATAACACCATTGCAGAAGTTGTGTAGAGTGGTTTTAATGAATGGATAAGGCTGGTAACTGATTGAGATCGTCCCTCAGAAGAATCCTGCTCTGGATATAATGTTTGTTTTTGTTGTTGTTTCCCTTTTTTTTTTTTGGGTGGGACTTATTTTATGGTTTTCTGCTACTTCTTCTTTACTTCCTTCCTTGGACTAATCTGGGATTGGAGAGTTTGAAGACTACATTGGATTATAATTGGAGTATAATTAAAATCTAAAATAACTGGCAATAACAAAACTGAGAAAATATATTATTTTTTACTTTTTTATGGTTTGGTCCTTTTCTTCCCCTGTTGCATTTTATTTTCGAAAGGACGGATTGGAATTAGCCTAAGTGGCGGCAAGAAGATTTTTGTCTTTCTATCATCTCTTCAATAATAAAAAGTTTTAAAACCTTGGCAAAAATTTGAAATTTGAGGACTGTGAATTAGTGAATTCTCCTAACAAAAAGGCTAAAAGTACAATCACGATTATATTCTCTCTTTTGGGATTTTTTAAGATAATAAGAGCATCTCCATTGGGTTATATTTTATTTTTATTCTGGCAATTTATTTTGTGATGTAGGAAATACCTGGGTTGATATATTGATCGAAGGAGTTCGGTGTTAGTTTTTATATGTTATTGGGTTTTGCTAAATATTGTATTGGGCCTTATATACTGGTTGTGCTAATTTTGGTGCATTAATTAACTTTGGTAGGAGTGTGAAGAGACTAAAAGATATGTCGCACCAGCAGAAAAAAACAAGTGAAGGGGGGACACCGGCAGATAGGAGAAGCTCAAAACAAGAGTCAGATTTTAAGGGAGAAATATTGAAAATGTTTGGAGAAATTAAAAATGATATAAAGCAGAGTGAAAAAATTTTAGATGCCAAATTAGAACAAATGGACAAAGGGATTGGAAAAATGGACACAAAAAAATGATGAAACAGTAAATGAATTAAAGTGGTGGGAGGAAAAAATCCTTAAATAAGAGACACTGGGAAATGATTAATGGACTTCAGTGTCTGTACACTAATGTGCAAAGCATGGGAAATAAACAAGATGAGCTTGAGCTCTTGGTACAGCAAACTAAATATGACATAATAGGCATCACTGAAACCTGGTGGGATAAGTCCCATGATTGGAATGTAATAATGGGGGGATACAATCTATTTCAGAGAAACAGACCAGACAAGAAAGGAGGAGGAGTGGCGTTATATGTCAGGGATGTGTATACCTGTGAAGAGATCCAAGATTTAGAACCTCAAAGCCAAAGTGAGAGCATTTGGGTCAAAATTAAGGGAGAGAAGAATAACAGTGACCCCATTGTGGGAGTTTACTATAGATCCCCAAGCCAAACGGAGGACATAGATGATGCCTTCCTGGAACAGATGGCCAAGCATGCAAAAGGAAGGGAGATAGTAGTAATGGGGGACTTCAATTACCCGGATATTTGTTGGATGTCAAACTCAGCCAAGAGCATAAGGTCAAACAGATTCCTCACTGGCCTTGCAGAAAACTTCATTGTCCAGAAAGTGGAAGAAGCAACAAGAGGAACAGCCATTTTAGATCTGGTCTTAACCAATGTTGATGACCTGGTTAGTGGGGTAGAAGTGGAAGGATCATTAGGCGCGAGTGATCATGCTCTTCTGAAGTTTACTATATAGTGGAAAGGAGCAGCCAAGCATACTAGGACTCAATTTCTTGACTTTAAGAAAGCCGACTTCATAAAACTTAGGGAAGTGCTGGGTGAGATCCCATGGACAGTAATACTAAAAGGAAAGGGAGTTCATGATGGCTGGGAGTTTGTTAAGAGGGAGATAGTAAAAGCACAACTTCAGGCAATACCAATGAGACGGAAACATGGAAGGTGCCTAAAGAAGCCAGGGTGGCTATCTAAAGAACTTTTAACTGAGTTAAGATTAAAAAAGGATGTGTACAAAAAATGGAAAAGGGGGGAAACCACCAAAGAGGAATTCAAACAAATAGCCAGCACGTGTAGACACAAAGTCAGAAAAGCTAAAGCACAGAATGAACTCAGGCTTGCTAGAGAGGTTAAAAGCAACAAAAAAGGTTTTATGGATATGTTCGTAGCAAAAGGAAGAACAAAGAAACAGTGGGGTCACTCAGAGGAGAAGATGGTGAAATGCAAACAGGGGACACAGAAAGGGCTGAACACCTCAATGCCTTCTTTGCCTCCGTCTTTTCCGATAAAGAAAACAATGCCCGACCTGAAGAATTTGGAGCAAATGATTCAGCAAAGGAAACAGCCCAGAATAACTAAGGAGATAGTACAAGAATACTTGGCTACTTTAGATGTATTCAAGTCTCCAGGGCCAGATGAACTGCATCCCAGAGTATTAAAAGAACTGGCAGATGTGATCTCAGAACCACTGGCAGTCATCTTTGAGAATTCCTGGAGAACAGGCGAAATCCCTGCAGACTGGAGGAGGGCAAATGTTGTCCCTATTTTCAAAAAGGGGAAAGAGAGGACCCAAATAATTACCGCCCAGTCAGTCTGACATCAATACCAGGGAAGATTCTGGAGCAGATCATTAAGCAAACAGTCTGTGAGCACCTAGAAAGGAATGCTGTGATCACCAAGAGTCAGCATGGATTTCTGAAAAATAAGTCATGTCAGACTAACCTGATCTCCTTTTTTGACAGAATTACAAACCTGGTAGATGAAGGGAACGCAGTGGATATAGCCTACCTTGATTTCAGCAAGGCATTTGACAAGGTGCCCCATGATATTCTTGTAAAGAAGCTGGTAAAATGCGGTCTTGACTATGCTACCACTCAGTGGATTTGTAACTGGCTGACTGACCGAACCCAAAGGGTGCTCATCAATGGTTCCTCTTCATCCTGGAGAAGAGTGACTAGTGGGGTGCCACAGGGTTCTGTCTTGGGCCCGGTCTTATTCAACATCTTTATCAACGACTTGGATGATGGACTCAAGGGCATCCTGATCAAATTTGCAGATGACACCAAACTGGAAGGGGTGGCTAACACCCCAGAGGACAGGATCATACTTCAAAACGACCTTGACAGATTAGAGAAATGGGCAAAAACAAACAAGATGAATTTTAACAGGGAGAAATGTAAAGTATTGCACTTGGGCAAAAAAAATGAGAGGCACAAATACAAGATGGGTGACACCTGGCTTGAGAGCAGTACATGTGAAAAGGATCTAGGAGTCTTGGTTGACCACAAACTTGACATGAGCCAACAGTGTGACGCGGCAGCTAAAAAAGCCAATGCAATTCTGGGCTGCATCAATAGGAGTATAGCATCTAGATCAAGGGAAGTAATAGTGCCACTGTATTCTGCTCTGGTCAGACCTCACCTGGAGTACTGTGTTCAGTTCTGGGCACCACAATTCAAGAAGGACACTGACAAACTGGAACGTGTCCAGAGGAGGGCAACCAAAATGGTCAAAGGCCTGGAAACGATGCCTTATGAGGAACGGCTAAGGGAGCTGGGCATGTTTCGCCTGGAGAAGAGGAGGTTAAGGGGTGATATGATAGCCATGTTCAAATATATAAAAGGATGTCACATAGAGGAGGGAGAAAGGTTGTTTTCTGCTGCTCCAGAGAAGCGGACACGGAGCAATGG